AAGAAGTCTATGGTTTGTTGCTTGAAATCTAGCTATTGCATGCAGAGTGGGGAATGTTCTTAGGAGTAAACCTGTATATGTAGTATGTATTACTACAAAAGTGGTTTTCTTCCATCAAGGATTGAATCCTTGATGGAAGAAACATGATCCTCCAATAGATCATGTTTTGGGTTGCAATCCTGTGTAGTATGCAAATCATTGTTTTATGTATTTTGTACTTATTTTGCAATTGGTACCTGCAGGAGGATTAGTCCCATACATACTGCTCTGTCACTATTTGAACTAGAATTCTCAAAAATTCCCTTGGCCATATTCAAGTTAAGATGACTATTTGATATCTAAGTGGCAATGTAAAAAAGATATTTAGATCTGGATTTCAGGGGGATTTTATAGCTAGAAACACACATTTTTTAGAGTCATAAGTGTATATATGGATTTTAAAGCTATAGAATAGCTGGGAACTGGTGGCCCATGCTTATAAATCTTAGCTACTCAGGAGAAAGACATCAGGATAATTGCTGTTTGAGGTGAGCCCAGGCAAATAGTTTGTAAGAACCTATTTTAAAAAAACCCAACACAACAAAGGACTGGCAGAGTGGCTCTAGTGGTAGAGTGCCTGCTTAGCAAGTGTGAGGTCCTGAGTTCAAACTCCAGTACTGCCAAAAAAAAAAAAAAAGCTATAGAATAAGATCATATAGGAATAAACATAGACAGGAAAATGTTTGAGAGCTAAGTCTTGGGGCACTCAGTAATACTTAAAAAACAAAAGCTAGCAAGGAAGACTGAGAATGGCCTTTGAAATGGAATCATGGTAGGGACAAACAGCCTTAGTGGAGTAAATCCAAGAGAGAATTGGAGGAAAGGAAGTCTACATTAATAGACAATTTTCTAGGAGTTTTCCTCTGAAAAGGAGTAAGTAGCATACTGGAGCAGAGAAGAGATGTGTTGTCAAGGGAAGTCATTTTTAAGGTGAGAAAAAATTACAGTGTTTTTACTCAACAGTGGAGATTATCCTATGGAGAAAAGTAAAAAATTAGTGTAGGGAACGCAATACACCAATAATGTCCTGGGAAGGAAGAATGGTAGATTTTGCTGTTTAAAGACAGAGGGCAAGGTTTTTAAGAGATTTAGGTGAGGTTGTGAGAGCTTATCAAAGTTGAAAGCGAAATCATCAGTTGGGAATGAAGATGGAGGAGTTATGGAATATACATCTATAAAACTTGGAGAATAAACTAAGACAATTATTAGAGACACTAAATTAAAAATCCAAACAATGTCATTCCTTAAACTTAAGTAGGTTTGTCAGCCTGTTATTTTCTCTTAGTCACATTCAGCAGATAGGGGACAGGGAGAATTTATTTAAATTTATTTTATATTTGGAGAGTTTATATTTAAGAATTGCCACATAAACTTATAAGACACAGAGAAAAAGTGGCAATGGGACCATTTATGTATGTAAGGCAGTAATTATAATGCATTTTGACCCTTGTATTTTGACTGGTTAAGGAAGAAAGCGAGACATCAGGGATAGGACGGTAACAATGTGGTAGGATCCAGACATGAATGTTTCCAGTGGGTCAGATAATTGTTAAAGTTGTCAGAACCCAGAAAGAGTGAACTATAAAGATATGTGTTGGCTATGGATATAATTTGGACTTCTGTAATTATCAGTAATGTCAAAGCCAAAAATATACAGATGATGCTATCTTAAGGCCATCCCATTTAGTGTTTCTCTTGTGGTGTTCTCCCAATTTAACTTATCTATCTTCTGAATTTTTAAATTCCAAATTAATTCGCATTAAATTTTTTCTGCTTCACTAATAATTCACTCAAGTATTGTGTCCTCTGCTTTTCAAGGCAGCAACAATTGTAAAACTGATTTTAATAACTTGTTTTAGTCTTGTTCTTTTTAATACTGATGACTAACACTTTTTAATCTATAAAGAATTTGGTCCTAAATCTTGTCAACTAGTATAGGTGGGTATTACTATTATTATTTCTGTTTTGAAATTCAGAAATTAAATGATCAATTTTTTCACTCCAATCCCAATTTTCTTCCCATTATATCCAATGGACTCTAGTGTAAATTTGTTCTAACATGTTAATTGTACCTTGGGGAGTTTCCTTCCCTAAACAGAGGTCCCTCTGAAGATCCAATTACCAGTCTAAAGGACCGATAGCTGTCCTTATCTCAACTAGCAAAAATGCTATGTCTTTCTTATTATTATTTCTACTCTTCAATGGAACTGGAGAAAAGCACAGAACAGATTCTGCCTGGAAGGGAGGGGGGAGGGGAGAAAGGGTGGGGAAGGGGGCATGAGGGAGAAATGACCCAAACAATGTATGCACATGTGAATAAATGACTTAAAAAAAAAAAAAGACTGATTTTGATCAGTAGGGTTTTAACTCTAGCAGATCAGAGGGAAAGTTGGGTCTTTGGGAATTCCTTGAATAACAAGTATAGGCAACTCCTCTTATTCATACTCAAAAAGACATATAACTCCTTTAACAAAAGTCATATAGTAGGCACTCAGGACTGAAGTTCAAAGTCAATGATGATTAATTAATGAATTCATAAATATATTTAATTCTGAAGTTGCTTTGAAAAACCAATCAAATAAGACTAAAAGGATGCCAGGAAATGAAAGAGTTGTTAGTAAATGAAGGAGAAAGTAAGAAATTTTGGAGTTTTCTCCTTCAATGGAGAGAAATACACCTTACTTAGGTAACATTTAAGGTAAAATTGATGTATTTAATAATTTCTGCTTCATAAATTTTATATTAAGAAGTATTAACCATAACTTAGCCAGTTAAAAACATTTCCTTCATGCTGACATGATAATATGGTTCTAGACCATAAATTGGTGAATTAACTCAAACATACCTGTGTAGAAAAAATTTGACATAATATCTCTTTAAATGTGTTGTTTCAGATATATAGAACATGAAGAGGAAGTTCCATTTTAACCCAAATTTTTATTACTTAATTGATAACTTTTGCTCATTTTTTCAGCTTTTAAATGGAAGATAAAATGTTAAATTATTTGATATTAAGAAAATTGATAAATAGAAAATTCAGATAGGCCCTCAAAGTAAGATTTTTTAACATGATATTTATAAATAAAAACTATTGGCCAGTAAGGATTTATATTCTATGTAAACTTTTCAATGGTTATCATCTCATCAAGTTTTTCAAAAATCTTTGGAAATTATTGTTTCAAATCAATTAACTAGATTTTATGATAAAAGTTTAAAATACATTGCAACCAATAAATAAGATTTAACCTTTTTGAACCTCTTTACTTTGTTTGCAAAATGTTATTTAATGTAACATTTAATGTAAGCTCTACATTTACTTTTGTTTGCAAAATGTTATTTAATGTAACATTTAATGTAAGCTCTAATATCCCATAAATTCTAAATTTGTTACTTTTTAAATTTTTTTTTCAACAAGGGGTTCTCGCTGTAGGGGTCCAGGCTGTTCTTGAACTCCTGGGCTCAAGTGGTCCTCCTGTCTCAGCCTCCCAAATGCTGGGATGATAGGGGCTTACCATTGGGCCCAGTTTTTTACTTTTTTTTTGATGAGTTATTTTTAAATATTAATGTATCACTAAATCCATTTCTTCGGCCAATAATCTTCCAACCAATGATCTAAAATTGTAGCATTTTAGAAGTGGTGATGACTATGAAAAGAAGAGGTCATCCTTGAACTAGCTTTTCAAATTTTGAATTCACTTTATAGATTTCTAACTTGTAAAATGAAAAACACTGGGAACATGCAAGACTTCTTTTGTTCTTCCTTATTTTACATTGGTCAGCTTGAGTTCTAAAAATATATGAATGAAAACATGATTATTTCCTTATTTCCCTGAAAGTAAGAATCTAAGAAGGGAGATTTATTTATTCTTAATTAATGGTAATGAAATCAGAATTTGAACTTCACAGAACCTTCATTGTGGCTCCTATATTTTATGAAGTGTGACAAATAATTTGAAAAAAGGTAGTTTGCAATTATACATCTGTCTTAATCAGATTTCTGTAGCTACAACAGGACACCTTAAACTGGGTAATTTATAAAGAAAAGAGGTTCATTTTGCTTCATGGTTCTCAAGGCAGGGAAGTCTAAGATCAGTCATCCACATCTACTTGGCTTCTGGTGAGCACCTGATGGCAGCAGGGCAAGCACATACATGCAGAAGGAATAAGAGGACAGCTAACCTCCTGCTGAGAATAAGAGAGCTCACTGCCCAGAGACAGCATTCATGAGGGCTCCACCCCCATGACCCAAACACCTTCCACTAGCCCTCCTCCCAGCGCTGCCACACTGAGGAATCAAGCCTTAACCTAAGTTCCGGTGGGGACAAACTATACTCAAACCATAGCAGCATCATAAGAAAAACATTTTATCAAATACTTGAGCTGAAATCTAATGTTATATTTCTCTCGATATGTAAAAGATAAAGATTCCCAGACTTTGAAAAGTATCTTTTTAAAAAACAGAATAAAAGAATTTTGACAATTGGAGGTATCTTTTCTTGCTGTTTATTTTTTCTATATTATAAAAGTAATGCATGTGTTTGCAAGATTTTGAAAAATACTCAAACTTGTAATATCTTAGAATTTTAAGGATTATTCTAAGCAGTTTTCCTTTACTAAAATTAATCTTTTCCATTTTTATGACACTCAGTGTGTCATAAAAGTGGAAAAGATAATAGAAACTTGACCTAGGTCTTTGAAAGAAAAATGTTGCAATAGTAATGTGACTGTACATTTATTAGATTAAAAAAATCAACTATGTCTAAGAAATTTTTAGAAATCTTACCATTTACAAATAAGGCTAAGAAAAAAATACATTAAAAAATAAATAAACCATGCCTATCTCAATTAAGTAATTTAATATACTGTAATGGGTATAGCATCTGATGATACAAATCTGAACATATGTGATATACTCTATGTAACATAGATTTCATGAAGTGTTTTAAAACTTTTTAATCTAGGGCCCCAAAGGAGACCCAGGATTTTCCCCAGATCAAGCTGCTTCTGGACAAAAGGTAATTATTTGTTCATGAAGTAAAATCAATGTAATACATTTTGAATATTTAAAAATCATTTTTATCTTTTTAAAGTTTAAATTTTATTGTATCAGACAGAGAAGATAGCAGGAAGCTATTGGATTTTAATAAATGAAGAAATACTTGAGGAGTTTACTTAATAAGTAAATTATGTCCTATCAGTTTAACTGACTTAAATGGTAAGATTTAAATCTTACCATTAATTTTATTGTTTACTGTGGCCTGTCAGTGTGCTATCTGCCAACCAGGGATCAGGGGGATTAAAAAGTTAGAGCAGATTATGGTCTTAATCTGAAAGGTTTGTTGTTGATATTCATTAAATCCAAGTGCAATTTTTTTCGTTTATTCATATGTGCATACAATGTTTGGGTCATTCTCCCCCTACAACCCCCCCATTCAATCCACCCCTCCCTCTCTCCCCCACCCCCTCACTTCCAGGCAGAAAACTGTTTTGCCCTTATCTCTAGTTTTGTTGAAGAGAGAGTACAAGCAATAATAATAAGGACAAAGGGTTTTTGCTAGTTGAGATAAGGACAGCTATACAGGGAGATTCCTCGCATTGCTTTCCTGTACATGTGTGTTACCTTCTAAGTTAATTCTTTTTAAACTAACCTTTTCTCTAGTTCCTGATCCCCTTCTATTGGCCTCCATCGCTTTAAATTTTCTGCCTTAGTTCCTTTGCATTGAGGACATCAAATACTATCATGTATTTTGGGTGTCTTACCTATCCTCATACCTCCCTTGTGTGCTCTCACCTTATCATGTGACCAATGTCCATCCACTTGCTTTTTTGCCTTGAACTAATGTCCACATGTGAGAGAGAACATATGATTTTTGGTCTTCTGAGCCTGGCTAACCTCGCTCAGGATGATGTTCCCAGTTCCATCCGTTTACTTGAGAATAATAAGATTTCATTCTTCTTCATTGTGTATAAATGCCACATTTTCTTAATCCATTTGTCAGTAGTGGGGCATTTTGGTTGTTTCCATAACTTGGCTATTGTGAATAGTGCTGCAATAAACATGGGTGTGCAGGTGCCTCTGGAGTAACCTGTGTCACATTCCTTTGGGTATATCCCCTGAAGTGCAATTTTATGATAGTTACACATACTTCGTCCTGCCTAAGGACCACTGTGACTCCCTGTAAGAGAATCAGCCATCCTTATCGTATTTTCTAGTTGGAAAAACAGAATCAGTAGATTTTAAGACACTTACATATGAATAGGAAGTGGCAGAGTTAATGATATAACCAAATTTTCTGATTTTAGTCCAGGGTGGTTTTTATATCACAATACTCTGAAATACAAACATACACTTATTTAGGTACAAACTAATATTTTAAAATAAAAATAGCAATAAAATATTTACTGGGAGGAGGAAGTGTTTTCTAATAATGATAAGTAATGGAGTCTTTAGGAGGACATTTGGGAAGTTTTGTTTAGACAAGCACTTGATAAATGTGCTACAATCTAGGATGTTTTGGTTTATGTGGTGTACATTCATAGACTTAAAAAATTCCTGAACAATTTTGGTGATTCCTGGGTTGAAATCAGATCTTTTAATTGGCTTACATAAACTCTTATAAACTTTAAAAAAAATCACAAAGTAATGGACTGTAAGATAGATCCTCCAAAATACTCTACAAGTAAATGCTCAAAAAAATTAATCCAAAATTTTTGGGGGCTGAAGCATGGATCAAGGGTAGAGCACCTGCCTAGCAAACATGAAGCTCTGAGTTCAAACCATAACAAAAAAAAAAAAAGAAAAAGAAAAGAAAGAAAGAAAAGGAAGGAAGGAAGGAAGGAAAAGCATAGGGCTTCTTGGCCTTTTGACTAAGATTAAGTATAAAATGTTAGAATTTTATGACTGTGATGGAAGTGAGTTCATGGATCCAAATGACATAGAAAGGGAAAGAGGATTGATTACTAGAACATAGTACCTTCATTGATCTCTTCATTCCCTACAAGAGACAATATCCTGCAATCTGAGAAAGAAATATAAATGCTATCTTTAAGAATATCTAAATATAGTACATTTACAATCTTACTTAAAATTGAGAAATTAGAGGCCCAATCTGTTTTTGGTAATTGCCTTAAATAAGACCTCCAGTTTAGGCATAAACATTTAATACAATGCATGTTTTTATCTTTCCTGTGTTTTTTGTACAAAGTATAGTGTGGTTCAGCATGGGAGTTGAAACTTGGAAGTATGTTAGTTGGTTTTACTTTTTGAATAACTCATATACTAACTGTGGTTGATATGTATAAGAGAAGTGCCATGTTGCCATTGAGCTTTAAGTGAAATCCAACTTTTAAAATTGAGATAGAATTTTTAACTGAAATTTAAAAACAATCTGTTAGAAATTGTACTTATATTAAATTTGATTTAACTATACTGAGGAGATGAGACACACCATTGGAATGCAAACATTAAAACTGATAGGGGTAGTGAAAGAATGGAAAAACAATTGTTTTAATTATTTAGCCATTCTTACAATAAATATCTGGACAATGATGAAGCAGTAGAAGAAATGCAGGGCTAGTCCTTTTCCATATAACGCCCACTAAGAAACATCTATAATAAACCATAAAATTTTGAAACCTTTTGAGACCTCATGGGCATGCATCCATAGTATTTAATTTAGTTTACGTATTTATTTGGTGGAACTGGGGTTGTACTCAGGTCTCCAGGCTTGCAAAGCAGGTACTCCACCACTTGAGCTGCACCTTGGTCCTTTTACATAGTTTTTGGATGGTGTGATTCTTCCTTTCCCAATAGGCTATGAGCCCTCATCATTGTCATCATTTGAGAAACAGCATTAAAATGACTATTAGAGCAAATTGGAAAACACCCCGTTGTTAATATTACCAGAAACATCCTTTTCTCTTCTGAGTGCTTAATTTCGATAACATATTAAAGTACAGAATCCATTAAAAATCTAGACAGAACATAAAGAGACTAAGAAGTGTTTTTGTTAACATAACTACTTATTTATATATTTTTGGTGCTGGAGATTGAACCCAGGGTCTTTTACATACATGAGGCTCCATCCATGTTCACCAGTGGTAACAAAGCTATGCCCCGCTCCTTCTTTTCTCTTTCAAATATCAGTTTGTTTTTTATGGTTTTTTTCATCCACAATAAATCTGTTGCATGTAAGGAAGGAAATTTTTTTTTAATGTACCTTGAGTAAACTGCTGGAGATGATTCCTTTCTGCTTCTTCCATTTTCTCCCTTGTCAATTCACACAGCTTCCTGTGTTTCTCTTTGGCACTTCTATCTGCCACAGCCTTGCTCTCATCCCCCAACATGGATATCCTTACTCCTTCCTTCCTCAAGAGGAGCCAGCAGGCCCTCATCAAAGTGGGGAGAACTCAGCTCTAATTGGTGAAGTTCACTCTGTATGAGTTAAACACATGCACCTGCCAGAACATTCATTCTAGTCACTCACAGGTGTTGTCTTCTGAGAGGCCAGCACCAGGTGTGACAAATACCAGCTCAGCCCTGGAAGCAGAAGTAGCTCTTCTTCATGCCCTACTATGAACCTGGGAGGCCTCTCCATTGCCCTCGAAGGCCTGTCTGGAAGTCCTCTGGGCCTCAGTTCTTGAAGAGGAAATCTTAATAATAATAATTTTGTAGAATTTTTAAGGAAACTCCTTTAGATTTTTTTTAAACTGACAGGAATTTTGGGAGTGGGGCATTCCAAAAGAATAGAGTAAGAGGAAAAAACGAGCTAAGGCATAGAGTTGGGAAAGCATAGTTCGGGTTTTTAGCACTGGAAGAGGTAAGAAAGCCTCCGAAAGGGCTGAGAAATAAGGTGGAACTTCAGCTAGATGGTGAAACCAAAAATGAATGTAGAAAGGGCTTGATGTCCAAGATTAAAAGGAGCTTTAGTTTTCTATTCTCTTCATGACATTCAACTCTTTTTTGTTTATAGGGTGAATCAAGGCCTTCCTGGATTAATAGGACCCCCTGGTTTGCAAGGTGGAAAGGTAAAATGTAGTTTTACTTTGTCATAATTGAATGTGAGATGGAGCTGGGAGCTCTTCAAAATACTACATCTCATTTTGAAGTTGAGTCTAAAATCAAAGTTTTAAGTTCTTATTCTCAGCAAAAGAAAAATGAGATTGTTGTCCTGTTTCAGGAATGTGATGTCCCTTCCCCCACAAAAGTAGGATCTTACAAAAAAAGGAAGATCCTTCAGTTAATGATGGGCACAAAATTTACATGTAGGAGAAAGTCCAAGTCGCTGATATAAAACTGAAGCACCTACTTCTGAGACTCTAAAGTTACTTCATAACTTTTGTATGCACAAAATAAGATTCACTTGCTTATAGATAGTATACTTGGATTTTTAAGAGTTCACATTTACTGGGAAATAACCTCTGCTATCATATATAGGCAAATGTGAAGCTTAAAGGGTAGTAAGTCAGTCACACATTTCTTTGCTATGACAAACACCTGAGAGAAACAATTTAAAAGAAAGTAAGTTTTCAAAGGTTTCAGTTCATAGTTGGCTGGCTCCATTA